ACTAGAAAGGCGCTATATAAGTAATTAGTATCAGTTAAAATTATATTAAATATAATATTATAATATATAATATTATTATAACAGATAAAAATAAAACAATATATACAGTTTTTTATATGCATATACGCCTAAACAGCCAGGAAATCATTTTACAGGAGAATGTCAATAGCAGCAACCTCCTCTTGTCCTGTGTTCAGCTCGGAACACTGTTTTAACAATGAAAGAAATGACAGATTAAAACAAAGTGGAGTTTGGAGGAGGTACCGACTATATGCACTGCTTTTTTCATAGTCAAAATCTCCTGATCCAATTGAATAGAACAAGTTGAAAGTCCAATCATAGTCCTATTATAGGCCTTTATTAGTCTATAATATAACCCTCTTACAGCTTCAGAGTGAATAAGCATGAAAGAAGGGTGGCTTTTCAAAAAGCAATTAGGTGATGTTATCTTTTGCTCTTCCTCTCCATCAGTCATCCATCCTTTCCACAGAATGACAGAGAGATGTGGGGGCAGAAGAAAGACTGGTCAGTTTACAGTAGCCACCACTTAGCCAGTGAAAAGGGTCAATGTGGGACAGAGAGAGAAAAGAAAAGAGGAGGCATGGAATGATGGGGCAGTGATGGATGGAGACAGAGTGGGAGGAAGGCTGTGAGCAGTGTCAAGTTACATTGTTAGACTGTTGAGTTTAAGGAGTGAGTGATTCACCTCCTTAGTTGTGATCATGGGTGATCTTTATAAGCAGAATTGGATTCTTTGTGACATTTTTGTTTTTGGGTAATTTTAAGTTACTTAATTTAGTTGGTTTGTTAGTGCCCATTTCACACAAGTGAGTTTCTTCCCTTATCTGCAAACCGTTTACCTTGGGTGTCCCTGCGAGCAATATAGGTGTTGACACAACATGACTGAACCTGTTGTACCTCACTGGTGTTGAGCTGTGTGGGCTATTTCCTTATCCATCCAGTTCATTTACCAAAAGTGACTAAGGATTTGTGGAAAAGGAGTGGATTGATAAGAAAATTGTTTAAGATTGGTAAAATACTCCCAAATACATTGAGGTTGATGCAATCTCTTCTTGTGACTGACGGTTTACATTTTACAGTGATATTCTTACCTGTATGTGACATAAATTAACAATAATATCTCCACTTATGAAGCCATCCACTTTCATTTACCAATTTTTGCCTACTTCCCAAATAATTAAAATTAAATCACAGTCTTGGGCTGCCCTGTAAAACTTCTCATTGAATTTTATACACTATATATGCAGCTGTCTTCTTGGATTGTACTGCAGTGTGAATTCAGTGAGAAAAACCTGAAGAAACAGAGCTGTAGCAGAATGTAGCAGTCACTGCATGTCAACTAAAACACAAAGTTTATTCTAACCATATTCCTTATCCACTGTGGAATTTCTAACTGCATAATATTCTCTGTATCTCATTTACTCACAAGCACTCTGTCCTTCTACTATCATACTGGAATGAATAACAAGTTCCCAAACTCCAGATGAACTTGAATCTGGTGAATTAGTAGAGAAAGCAAATTGTTTGTAGTGGTGGAGATTTTGCCAGAGAAATAGCAAGCAAACAAATGTTATTTATGTATAAAGCAGTTTTAAAACACATCTTACGCAGTGACCATTCTCTACAGGAGGAAGAACACACACTAATTTTGCCCTCGGAATGAGTTGTAAAAATTTCTTCAGGATCAAATACCTGCAAAACTAATGGCATTCCCATCAGCCTCAGCTGTACTTTGTGTTTAAAGCTAACTAACAAATATAAGCACGCTAACACACTAAACTAAGATGGGGCATCCAGTTTACATTATATAAGTAACTACACTGAGATCAGATGGGGAAAAACTGTGGACTGCTTTTCTTTCACTTTTGATATTCAACAACAAAACACAACTCCTGGATCTTTCAAGATAAGACTTAACTAACTTTTATCTGAGCCCTCAACCTTATCTCATGGTCCTTGCTCAGCTGCCATAAAATCAGTTGTTCATTTTTGTCACACTCATAACACATAAAGCAGACCACACAAAAACTGAAACTGCTGTCATTCAATATAGTGCTATGTAATGTTACACTTGGTCATTGTCTGCTGCCCTTATTCATTGAATAATAATACTTAACTTATAATTCCAAATAAAACATAAACTTATTCAACACAGATCCTTTGTCAGGAA